GCCCTATGGTCCTCTCTGTGCATTGTCTGCTCCGAGCAGGAATATCGTCTTTGGGGCTTGGTGGGCCAGGATGTCCTCCCCTCCCTCTCCATCTCTTTTTGTTTCTCCCGTGTGCTCTAATCAGTCACACCCCTCTCCCCAAACTGTAGCCTGTGTTGCCCTCTGCAGCACATTCTGCTTGGGGGCAGGGGGGCCTCCACATAGTTAGAATTGGGGCCACCCCACCGTGTGTCACGTGTTTTGGACATGTTATCAGGAGTGATCAATCTCTGGAGAAGGCCATCTGTAACAAAGAGGAAGATCCACAACGAGATGTGCTTATTCGGTGGCTGCAACAATTGTGAGGATGGTGCAGGACTGGGCAGTGTTTGGGTCATTATGAGTCAGAACCAACTGGAAAACTCTTATTTTTAAAAATTATTTTATTGGAGGCTCGTACAACTTTCATCACAATCCATGCATCCATCCATTGTGTCATGCACATTTGTACATTTATTGCCATCATCATTCTCAAAACACTTTCTTTCTATTTGAGCCCTTGGTATCAGCTCCTCGTTTTGTTTTCCTTAAATACTTTCATTGTGGGGTCTTGCATCTCTCTCTTTCTATTAAATCATACAGTTCTTAACAAAATCCATACATCCATCTATTGTGTCAAGCACATTTGTACATTTGTTGCCACGATCATTCACAAAACATTTTCTTTCTACTTGAGCCCTTGGTATCAGCTCATTTTTCCCCTCCTTCCATGCCCCCCCTCCTTCACGATCCCTTGATAATTTATAAAGTATTATTATTTTGTCATGTCTTACACTGGCGAATGTCTCCCTTTACCCACTTTTCTGTTGTCTGTCCCCCAGGGAGGGGGTTATGCGGAAATCTTTGTGATCGGTTCCCCCTTGCTTCCCCACTTTCCCCTTACCCTGGCATCTGCACTCTCACCATTGGTCCTGAGGGGTTCATCTGTCCTGGATTCCCTGTGTTTCCAGCTCTGATCTGTACCAGTGTACATCCTCTGGTCTAGCCAGATTTGTAAGGTATAATTGGGATCATGGTAGTCAGGGGAGAGGGAGCATTAAAGAACTCGAGGAAAGTTGTATGTTTCATCTGTGCTATATTGCACCCTGGCTGGCTCATCTCCTCCCTGCAACCCTTCTGTAAGGGGATGTCCAGTCACCTACAGATGGATTTTGGGTCTCCACTCCACACTCCCCCTCATTCACAATGATAGGATTTTTGTTCTGGGTCTTTGATGCCTGATACTTGATTCTATAGATACCTTGTGATCACACAGGCTGGTGTGTTTCTTCCATGTGGGTTCCGTTGCTTCTCAGCTAGATGGCCACTTATTTATCTTCAAGCCTTTAAGACC